GGGCCGGGCGGCGGGCGGGCGGCGGGCGGGGGCGGCGCCCCGGGGCCGTGCCCCTGTCCCTGTCCCTGTCCGGGGGGGCCGCGGAAGCGGCGGCGGACCACGTTCAGCCGGGGGCAGCTGTCGGAGCTGGAGCGGGCCTTCGCCGCCGTGCCCTACCCGGACATCGCCACCCGGGAGCGCCTGGCCGAGCTGACCCAGCTGCCCGAGGCCAAGATCCAGGTGAGCGCAGGCGGGACCTTCCCCTCCATCCCTTCCTCCTTCCCTCCCGGGGCACCCTCTCCTCTGCAAGGCCACCCTGTCTGTGTCTCACTGTTCCCCTCGCCCGTCCCAGGTCTGGTTCCAGAACCGCCGCGCCCGCAGGATCCGCAGCGCCAAGCCGGAGCCGCCACCACTGCCGCCGCTGCCGCCGCCCGGGGAGCGGGGTCCCCCCGCGGCACCTCCCGACGGCAGCACCCCGTGCCCGGGCCCTGCCCTGCCGCCGCCGCGATCCCACAGCCCCACTCGGGGCCTCCCCACCTCGCTGGGCTCCATCTCCGACCTCATCTACAGCGCGGCCATCACCAACCTGGGCGAGCCATAGCCGTGGCAAGCACCCCTGGCTTCCGGGGACCCTCCTGGCACCGCGGCCCCCCCGGATTAGCGCCACGATTTCATTAGGGTGTGGAATTACCGCCGGTCCCACAGGCTCCGAGGATGTCATCCAATATCCTAAATGCCGGTGCGGCCACAGCAGGGACAGCTCCCTAATACCGACTAATCTTTGGGAAAAAATACCTTAATCTGAGGCCGTGTCCACGGATGATTGTGGCGCGGCCGCCCCTAATCCGCAGGCACGTTCGCAGGTGCCGGCAGATCTCCCTGGATCGGATATTAAACCGTGTTTCCAGGGGGGCTTAGCTGCCATCAGAGCATTAATCACTGTGTCTGGCCCTGGCACAGCGCCCACCCAGCAGGTGTCCGGGTCCCCAGGGCCTGCTGTGGGTGTCCCCTCCCTGCTGTGGGTGCATCTGCTCTCTGTCCCACAGCACCTGAGAAACCCCTGGGCTCAGTGTTGAGGGGTGCTCCCTCCCTGCCTCCAGAATCTGGGCACCCTTTGGCAGGGGGCTGGGAGCACCGTGCATCCCTCACTGTGCAGGCAGAGGAAGGTTTGGACAGGAGATGCAGAGGGAGAGGGAAGATTCACATCTCAGTGGTGTCTTAGATGCCACATCAATGTTTCTCATACCAACAGACATCTCCCAACACGCAGGAACACACAGTGTTATTTATTCCCAGAATAAAAGGACATGAATTTCCCAGAACAGGGATGGCAGGAGCTGATGCCCCTCTCCCTGCTGGGGTGGTCAGTCCAAAGCCATTCCCTCTCCCGTTCTGCAGCTCTGGGATTTCCAACCCATGATTCATTTCAGGAGCAGGAAGCAAAGGACGAGCCTGAGGAGTGCAGCAGTCTTCCCACAGCAGGAACAGGTACAAACAGGACAAGATCTGTCCCAAATTAGCAGCTCCTGAGGAGAACAAAATCCTCCAGCACGAAGCTTGCAGTTCACAGTCACAGCTTCCCCAGGTCCCCTTCGAGGGTCCGCACCATCACGTAGAGCTCGGCCAAGCCCACCACCGAGGCCACAATGACAGCTGACAGGACACGCTGGGGACACAAAAGACAGAGAGGTGACCCTGGGTGTCCGGCCTGGCCGGCACAGAGGGGCTGGCAGGGGCTGGCTCGCTCACCGCCGCCGTCTCTGCGAAGACGTACTGGCTGCCCAGGTAGGTGCAGGCAAAGGCGGCCACCACGGTGACAATGAAGTTGAAGATGGTGATGACAACGGCTTTCACGGAGCGAACTGGGGACAGAGGGGTGAAGGAGCTGACTTTAGGTAAGGCTGGACTCAAGGTGTAAGCATGCACAGCTGCCTCAGCTGGGGGATGTAATCGTGGGGAGTCACACGCTTGGTGCCTCCAGAAATGTTGGTAAGAATGACCAAGAGGCTCTTTCATTCAAGGAACACTTCAGTGCATGGAAACCTCCTGGTGAGATATTCCGAGAGGGAAGGGCTGTCCCCAGCTGGAGATGGAACAGTTCCCATGCCTGACCTGCCACATGTCAACAGGACAGGGAGCCACTCACCTTGCCTCCCAAATTCAGCCAACGGCCCGTTCATCTCCTGAAAGAAGGGATTGAAACAGCTTGTGACCGCTTGTGTTTTCATGTTCATAGTAATGTTGTTACTGTGTGTGCAGAATAAAAGCAATGTCAATGCCCTGTCCTGTCCCCAAGCCTCGGAGGTTTTGGGTGGGTGGGCTGTGGGGGAGCAACAATTTCACAACACCCATTTTCTGAAATTTTCTCAGACCTGTTTCCCTGAAATTTTGCACAAGCTCTGCTAAAACCACCCTGGATTATAGACCACAGCATGGCTTGGCTTGGAAGGAGACCTTAAAGACCATCTTGTTTCCCTGCCATGAGCAGGGACAACTTTCACTGAACCAGGTCAAACTTGAGGGGTCCAGCTTGGCAGAGAGCAAAGCAGATCTTCCCACGAGAGTTAAAGTGCACCTGGATGCCAGGTACAGTGTGGAAGGGCAAATGGGATCCCAAGGAATGCCAGCTGGAAGGGATGCTGGCTTGTCTGAACAGTCACCCCGCCAGAAGATCTCAGCTCTCTCAGGAAAGAATGAGTGCCCACACATGATCTTGCATTTTCAGCTTTTACCTTGACATGAATGAGGCAATTTTAAAACTATGACAAAAATTTAACCAGCGCAGATGCTCCCAGTCAAACATTTACGGCATGTGCTCAGTCTCCCAGAACAGAACTGAGATCTTTGGCACAGTGAGCAGCTCCCAAAAGTCAGTATGTGTAATTCACCACCCTGTTAACCCTGTCCTACCTCCATCCTCAACACCAGACCTGTTGTTCCCGGTGTGTTTACAGTGTGCTCTCCTCCAGTGCCTGCCACATCCCCTCTGCACTGCATTCACTCCAAGGGGGAAAACCTCCTTTGCTCCCAGGGGTTTGAGGGATGAATCCCGGCAGCAGGCGCTGCAGCAGCCCCTCACCTGGCCGGTGATGTTGCGGGTCATCCGCTGGTACTCCTCGTGTGCCAGCTTGGCCTTGATCCGCTCCAGCCGCGCCACCAGCTCGGGGTTCTGCGGGAGGCACGGACCCACCGTGAGGCCCGGCCGCCGCCTCCTCCTCCCGCGACTCCCGGCCGGCCCTCACTTACCCGCGGCGGCACCGGCACCTCGGGCAGGTGGATCTCGCACCCCTCCAGCAGCTCGTGCAGGTGCAGCGGAGACCCTGCGGGCGGGGCACGGCGCGGTCACGGCGCGGTCGCGGCGCCATCCCGGCGCCATCCCGGCGCGGCCTACCTGCCTCCCGCAGCGCGGCGTGCAGCCTCCGCAGCGCGCTGAAAGGCACCAGCCCTCCTTCCTCCGCCAGCGCCGCCTCCAGCTCACCCCTCAGCCCGGCGGGCAGCGCCGCCAGCTCGCCGTGCCGCACCGCCCGCCGCAGCCGCGGCCCGGCCCGCACCGCCGACGCCATGTTGGGCCCGGCCGGCGTTGCCGGGCCCGGGCCCGCGGGCCGGCCCCGCTCTGGGAGCCGCCCCCCGCCCGCCAGCTGCGGGCCCTGGGCACCGGCGGGGCGGCGGCGGCGCTGTCGCCGCTGCTGCTGCCGCCGAGGCGGCACCTCTCGTCGCGGTGAGGCCTGTGGGGGGCTGCGTGAGGGCGGGGGGCTCCTGGCGGTGTTTGGGAGGGCGTGAGGGGAGCTGGGGTGTGTTGAGCCACTGCGGGAAGGCTGTGAAGGAGCTGGGGGGCTGTCAGGGCGCGGATATGGGACACAGGGGATTGGGCTAAAGGGATAACTGGGTGAGGGTGTCGGGGGCAGTGGCAAAGGGAAGGGCTGGGCTGCCCACTTCATGGTGGGGCTCTCGTGGGGTGTCCCAGGGACGCACGGAGCGGGGAGCAGTGTCCCCCGGGGCTGGGGGCTGCTCCAGCCCCTGCAGACCCTCCGAGCTGCCTCTCTGCTCGCAGGAACCGTCCCGAGGGCAAAGTGCTGGAGACCGTGGGGGTGTTTGAGGCGCCGAAGCAGCACGGGAAGTACGAGACAGGCCAGGTGAGGGGTGCTGCGGGGCACAGCTGGCCCTGCAGGCTGCTGCCGCAGGGATTGGGATTTCCTGGGAGGAAAAGCCAGCAGCAGGAGGCTGGGAGTTTCACAGCTGGGTGCTGCTTGTCTGTGCTGTGTCTGCAGTTTGTCAGTCATCTGACAATA